GGGGCCGGGCTGGGGCAGGACCGGGGCCGAGGCTGAGGTCACATGGAGAGGACAAGGGGGAACGGCCACAGGTTGCTCGTGGGGAGATCCGACTGGACATGAGAGGGAAATTTTTCACCATGAGAACAGTCAACCATTGGAATAATCTCCCCAGGGGAGGGGTTGACTTCACCACACTGGACACTTTCAAGATGCAGCTGGACAGGGTGCCGGGCCATCTTGTCCGGACTGTGCTCTTGCCCAGAAAGGTTGGACCAGATGATCCTTGAGGTCCCTTCCAACCTGGGATTTCATGATTCTATGACCTCTCCTGCCTTTAGCACTCCTTCATCCAGCTGCCCTGCCCCGAGCACCTGGAGGACGCCTGCCTGGAGATGAGCCCCGAGCAAGTCCAGCAGGAGATCAAGTGTTGTGCGGTGAGTCCTGCTGCATCCCTGAGAGAAGGATTGGGTTGGATCCAAACCGCCCCGGGACATGCTCCAGCCGGCCTAGGCTCTCAGCTTGAGTTTCTTCTGTTTTTTTCTTGGACTATGAGCCAGGAGTGGTGGTATGGGGTATCCCACAGTTAAGAGAGAGCCTGTACTGGGGTCTGGGGCTCTGCATGGGGAGCAGCTCACCTTCCCAAATGAGTAGTGTGTGCTGGGGCTGGACAGCCAGTGTCTGCAGGGTCTCACTGTCTGATGGCACCTCCCACAGGAACTTTGCAGTGCTCTGGAGCAGGACCATGCGAAGCTACAAATGGCCGTGGAAGATATAGAGCAAAGGACGCGAGAGCTGAGGAGAGAGGGAGAACTTCTTCATAAACATCTTGAGCAACAAATGTCTTTAAAGAGAGATACAGGGATAACCTGCCAGGTTGGTGATCGGAGGAGTTGTCTTGGGCTTGGAGAGGTGGCAGTGGGTGATGGGGCTGTGTCACTCGGCTTGCTGCTCCAAGATCGCTTTGCTCTGGACCCAGTGGAGGTTTCACAGGATGTCACATCAAGCCTGCGCCGAGAAGTGAGGGAGTGCCACTGTGGTGAAGGAAGGGCTGTGGTCAAACACCAGGAGACATGGCAGGGCTGCAGGCAGCCAAGACCAGCAAAAGGGTGTGGGTGGAGCTGTGTCCAAGAACGGTGCTGGGCTTAAAACGGAGCGTGCTGCAGCCCCCTGCGTGCCCCTCGTGTCCTGGTGGATCCCTTACTGCCCTTTCTTTCCTTCCAGATGAACATTTTATTAGCAAAGGAGGAAAATAACAGCCTGAGGCAGGAGAAGGAGATGCTGAAACAGAAACTGGAAGAAATGAAGAAGGTGCACCAGTTGACGGTAACAGAGTGTGTGTGGGCACTCGGGTCTGCTGGCAAGGGGCGCGAGCCTGGCCGGAGGGGCTGCAGGCGAGTGCGGCTGCGCACCGTGTGACGACTGGCACAGCTCCTGATAGCGGGTGGCTCCCCTGCCAGGGCCAGAAGCTCCAGTCATGGCTTTGGGACTCCAGGCACAGCCAGACCCTAGGAGAGACTCTGCTGAGGCTCTCCAGATGTTTATTTGGCGCCATGAGCTTGTTTCTAGTCTGTGGATTGTCAAGGGCCTGTGCAGGGTTGTCTCCTCCAGGTGCTATCTGTGTACTTGAACTTAGATGCTGCCTGCCTTGCCAGAGAAGAAAATGGTGTTTAAGGGACTTGTGACAAACAAGGAGGACATGAACAAGCTGATGCTCACCCCGCTGATCTACTACCCTCTGCAGGGGGGCTCAGCTCTCATCACCTTTGAGAAGGCAGAGGGTAAGAGTGAGATGGGCGCTGCCACAGCCAGGTGTCCTGGTCGGGCAGCTTCGGGGCCTGCCCTGGATCCCCTCCCTGGGCGAGGGCTCGGAGCTCTGCCCCCTCTGCTGGCGTTGTGCGGGGTTATGCCCCCTCCCCAAAACGTTAGCTGCCCCGTGTCCTGCCCCACGGCACGCTTGGAGCAGGCAGTCGATCCCCTGTGCTGGGGGCTCTCCCTGCTTGCAGTGGCCCAGGGGATCATCGAGGCGAAGGAGCACATGGTGGAGCTGAGCTGCGGGGAGGAGCTGGAGGAGATTGACCGGTGCAGAGTGCGAGTGCAGGCAGGACCGGTGGACATACTGCTGCCATCTTCCCTGGAGGTAGGTCTCGAGGGCTGGCTGCTCCCCGAACTGCAGAGAACCACCGAGCTGTTTTGGGTTGAAAGGGACCCCTAGAGGTCACCCAGCCCAAGCCCCCTGCAGGAGCAGGGACACCTTTAACCAGATCAGGTTGCTCAGAGCCCCGTCCAACCTGAGCTTGAATGGTTCCAGGGATGGGGCCTCCACCATCTCTCTGGGCAACCCCTGTCAGTGTTTCACCACCCTCATTGTAAAGAATTTCTTCCTTATAGCCAGTCTAAATCTCCTCTCCTTTAGTTTTAAACCATCCCCCCTTGTCCTGCCACAGCAGGCCTTGCTGAAAAGATTGTCCCCACAGCTTTGCTGTGCCCTGCTCCGCCACTCCCCGAGCTTGCCTCTGCCAGGTCACTGGTAGCCACCCAACTCAGCGCCACCAGTGCCACAGCTCTGTGCTGCTCCACCAAGCTCTGGGGCTGGCCCTGCTCTGCCCTGGCGCTGAACCGGCCTGTGCCACCCGCAGATTGGGATGACTCAGAGCAGCAGGAGTATCCTTGTGTCTGACCTGCCCAGCCTGGACATCTCCGAGGAGGCACTGCTGGACAAGCTGGAGCTCTTCTTCAGCAAGACGAAGAATGGGGGTGGCGAGGTGGAGAGCAGGGAGTTCCTGAACGACTCTGGCCGGGTGGTGCTGACCTTTGTGAAGGATGGAGGTGTGTGGGGCATGCTGAGCTCTGGCTGCTGGCAAGCGGGAGCATCCCAGCTCCCTCTGGGGGGGCACGGGTTGTCTCCTGAGAGCAGATGGAGCTGTGTCTGTGGGGAACAGGGAAGGCAGAGTGAGCCCAGCCTGTCCTGTCTCCCCTGAGGCTGTGCTGGTGGAGGTGAGCTGGGGCTGGGCAGTGCCAGCCTTGGTGTCTTGTGCCAGGGACATAACCTCTCCTGTTGCTCAGCAGGGGCCTGGGCAGCTCAGGGCTTTTCTCTCCATCTGCAGTGGCTGAGCCGCTAATTGCGAGAGGACGCATCCAGGTGCTTATTGGGAAAGGAAAATACGAGCTCAAAATATCACCGCGCATAAAGGGAGACATCACTAACCTGCAGGTAAGGGCACGAACCCTGGTGCCAAGCAGCACCCGCCAGCCCAGGCCGAGCCAGTGCGGGTGGGGGCTCCCAAAGACCCGCTCCCCACGCTGCTGTGCAGCCCCAGGCGCGGTCCCTGCAGGTGGCCCCGAGCAGAGCAGCAAGTGGTGCCCCAGGGGACCCCTTCCCTGCGCGCCCTCCCGCCACCCTGTGCGGGCCCACTGCAGCTCAACCCCGGCTCTGCCCAGCTCCAGCCCTCCCGCTGCCCCAGGACCATCCTGCTCTCGGGGATCCCAGACGTGCTGGGTGAGGAGGCCATGAGGGACACCCTGGAGATCCACTTCCAGAAGGCCAGCCGTGGCGGGGGAGAGGTGGACGCCCTCGCCTACGTCCCCGCAGGACGACAGGGGGTGGCCGTTTTCATGGAGGACAAGGACTAGTCAGCCCTGTGCAATGGAGTTCTGTGCAGCTGCTGGCCCCTGGGCACAGTGGGAATTAAAGCATCTGCATGGAGCACTGTGTTTGTCATGCTGGGACGGGGATGAGGATGAGGATGAGGATGGGGATGAGGATGAGGATGGGGATGAGGATGGGGATGGGATGGGGATGGAGATGAGCATAAGGATAAGGATGGAGATGAGGATGGGGATGGGCATTGGGGATGGGATGGGCATGGGGATGGGTATGGGGATGGGGGTGGGGATGGGATGGCCATTGGGATGGGGATGGGGGTGAGGATGGGGATGAGGATGGGGATGGGATGGGCATTGGGATGGGGATGGGGATGGGGATGAGGATGGGGATGGGGATGAGGATGAGGATGGGGATGAGGATGGGGATGGGATGGGCATTGGGATGGGGATGGGGATGGGGATGAGGATGGGGATGGGGATGAGGATGAGGATGGGGATGAGGATGGGGATGGAGATGAGGATAAGGATAAGGATAAGGATGGAGATGAGGATGGGGATGGGATGGGCATGGGGATGGGTATGAGGATGGGGATGGAGATGAGGATGGGGATGGGGATGGGGTGGCCATTGGGATGGGGATGGGGATGAGGATGGGATGGGCATTGGGATGGGGATGGGGAGGGAGATGGGGGTGGGGGTGGGGGGG